CCCTATAGCCCCTCAAGGCCCTAGCCTTATTCTCAGTTCCTAAGGAACCATTCTGGTCCTTCCTCAAAAGACATAGTGATGTGCCTGGGATATAGCTCAGTGGCACAGTGCCTGCCTTACAAGCACGAGGTTCTGAGTTCAATTCCTGATACAAAAAAAAAGAGAGACACACTGACAAGCTATAAAGATCCTACATAGAAAATGGCCACTAGAACTTTTACAGGACTAAGAAGAAAGCTATTCCTGAGAACCTCTAGAAGAACCGAGGCTTCTCTCCAGCAAGCAAAACTCCCATATTGCTCCAAGGGCAGATAAGCAGTCACTAATCACCCTAACTCACCACAGCTTAAATAGGCACCTGTATCGAGGCTCCCACTTTTGATTAGATCCATTAGGTGGGTAATCTTGCTAAAGCTATGGCACTCAGGTTCTTGGATAATTTATCTCCCTCTTTGCCCTACTCTGTCTTCTGCAACAAGTGTGGAAACACCTGCTCCTCATGTTTGGGTTCTATATCTCCAACACAATAGTAAAGCTACTTTCTTTCTCCCAATGAACAGACAGCTCACTAGTCACTCTTCTCATTGTCTTCTGACAGTGTTTTTTTCCTTCAACCCAGCCAGTGAGCCACAACTCCCTATGATATGGGAAAGAAAACTAAACCAATGCCATTTTGTGTTCTAGTGCCCTTTTAAAGCTTAAGTCTCTGTTTTCTTAAGTTTATTTCTTGTAAATGTTGTCATAGTTACCTAACTCAATACCACCCCATGCTCTGTCATAAGACTGCTTGTTCCTTATGTAAAATGTCAAACACCTTTGTTCCTTTGTCACAAGCTCAGCCTATGTTTTATAGTCTTTCCATAGCTGCGCTAAATCATATCAGCACCACCATCCCCCATAGACCCAGAACTAGAACTGTACAACTATTTTCCCCTCCTACCCTTCGGGGTTTGTGCTCAGTCATGTACTAGGTACCCACTGCCGGCTCCCAATAAACTTGCTTCTTTCTGCATCTGGCCTTTGCAGGTGACTCAATTAAATAAGTGCCTTTGCCACAACACCTAAAGTTGGGAGAGCACATACTCTCCAGTAGATAGTGTCCACAGCCTCTTCCACCTGGAAGAAGCTATAGAAAACAAGAGCCCTCCGCTCCCTCAACACGCCATAAGGAATTATGGGGATATGTGTTTCTCAGGGAAAATGAGACAGTTTATGGCATGACAAAGCTGGCTGGGGAAGTAAGTATGACTGTTAATTACAAAATTCCAGGACACATACGCAGAACAGTTCCAAAGTCCTGCATATGGACGTCTCATGAGAACTGGAGCAGGTGTTTTGGTTTTTTTTTTGTAGCAGAAATCAAACTCAGAACCTTGCACTTCCCAGGCAAGTGCTTGTGCCACTGAGCTATGTCCCAGCCTGGGGCAGGTTGTGATGGGATGGCCTAGACCTAACCTCAGCCTGAGGAGTTGGTGATACAAAAACAAAAGACCACAGTGAGTTTTGGCTACTGTGTTCTCTCTCCATGGTGGCCTACCCTCACAATGTAGGGTGTAATTTTTCCCTACTTTTATTCGGCCTGAACTTCCTCTGAACAGCCTGTTTCTTTTCCTACCTTTAATAAAACTTTGCTACAGTTAAAAACAAAGAAACAAAACCAAAACAAACAAACAAAAACATCAAGATTCCTTTTCCCTAAGTCCTTTAAAGGACACAGAAAAATATATTTTATCTCAAGAGCTAGAGAAGAATTGGTAAGTACTAGCCTACTAATGGCATACATCTCTGAGAAAGTTTATTTTCTTTTAAATTTTAGAAATTGTTGAGATAGAATGACAATTTTTATGTGTGTATGTGGTAATGGAGATTGAACCCAGACCTTTGTGTGTGCTAGGCAAGCACTCTACTACTGAGTTGATCCCCAGACCTTTGTATATTTTACTTAGAGACAGGGTCTGTGTAAATTGCCCAGGCTGGCCTTCAACATGTGGTCTTCCCATTCACCCACTGGAGTAGATGGACTTACAGACATGCACCCCCTTGTCCAATTGATATTTTCTGCAATGCCTAGAGGCTCTGTAGTAACTGACAGGGTTTCTGAGTCAGGTGTGGTGGCGCATGCCTATAATGCCAGCAGTGGGAGACTAAGGTAGGACGATTGCTGAGTTCAAGGTCAGCCTGAACTACACAATGAGAACCTATCTCAAAAAAAGAGACAGGGTTCAAACTTCAAATTCTACTTAAATTGCTAGATTAAGAAGCCCCCAATTCAGGAAATGTCAACTGATATGCTGAATCTGGAACACTAACAAATTACTACTTGGTACAGAGATCCTTGTAAGACAAAGAGATACTTGTAAGATAAATTATTTTCAAGCTTTTCTGTAACTCATTAGCAATATACTTTTTTTTTTTTTTGGCCATATGTACCAGAGACTGAACCCAGAGCCTTCACATTGAGCTATAGCAGTATATAATTTTTTTTTGGCAGTATGTACTAGTTTGAACCCAAACACTTCACACTAAGCATTATTCCCATCCTTATTTAAATTTTTTACTTTGAAACTGAGTCTCATTAAGTAACTAAATTTCCAGGTCTGTCTATGACAAACCTACTGTCAACATCATACTAAATGGGGAAAAACTGGAAGCTTTCCCTCTAAAATCAGGAACAAAAACAAGGATGTCAACTATCACCACTCTTGTTCAACACAGTTTTCAAGCATTAGCAAGAAAAATTAGATAAGAAAAAGAAATAAAAGATACATATAAGAAAAGGATAAACCAAGTTGTCAATATTTGCAGATGACATAATCTTGTGCACAGAAGACCCCCAAAAATCTACCAAAAACGTTTAGAATTAATAACTAAATTCAGTAAAGTAGCAGGATATAAAATCAACACACAAAAACCAATTTCATTCCTGCACACTAATAATGAGCCTATGGAGAAAGAAACTAGGAAAAAATACCATTTACAAAAGCACCAAGAAAATTACTTACCAATTAATGTAACTAAGAAAATGAAAGACCTCTACAATAAAAATTACAGCACTCTGAATAAGGAAATTGAAGATGATGTCAGAAAATGTAAAGACATCACTTGTTCCTGAAGAAGCAGAACCAACATAGTCAAAATGGCCATATTCCCAAAACTGACATACAGATTTTTTTGCAATTCCAATTAAAACACCAATAGTGTTCTTCACAGAACTGGAAAAAAAATTCTTAAAATTCATATGGAATCATTAAAGACCCAGAATAGCAAAAGCAATTTTGGATAACAAGAGCAAACCTGAAGGCATCAAAATGCTGGACTTGAAGTTATATCACAAAGTTACTGTGATTAAAACAGCATGGTACTGGCACAACAACAGACATGAAAATCAGTGGTATAGAATGGAGGATGCAGAAACAATCCCAAGCACATTCAACTATTTCATCTTTGACAAAGCAGCCAAAAACATACACTGGAAGAAAGATAGCCCCTTTAATAAATTAAGGTTCAAATTATCCAGTTTGAGAAGATTAAGAGTGGATTTAATAACTGATTATATATAAAGTTCTGCCATGTGGAGACTATTGATAAGATGCATTCTACCAAAAGTAAAATAAGAAGGTAGGAGCTTAAGCTGGTTACTGAAAGGATCACTACAGAAATACCACAAAAAGTTTTGATGGTAAACATTTAGAAGAAAAATAACCTCTATCAAAAGGAGTTTCTAACTACTAAGGCATTTTATATATATACATACACACACACACACACACATATACACATATACACATATATACGATCAGTGGCATAACTGTACTGTTGTTGGTGTCTGATGGTTTGTTGAGGGGAACAGTTAATGATTAAAAGTTGTTTTTTTTTTTAATATTTTGACCAATTTTGCATGCTTGTATCTGGTAATCTGAGCAACTTATACGATGAAAACAATTTGCAGTATAGTATCCATTGGTGAATTCCTACAATCCTGCCTAGTGACACTATGCATTGTTTCTAATGTTCTTTTAAATTATTTTCTTACTCCCTTTAATGATTTGATCAATCTTCTATACTTTTTTTTTGTTTGTTTGTTTTTTCTCCGGTACCGGGAACCGAACTCACGACCTTGCGCTTGCCAGGCAGGCACTTTGCCGCTGAGCTAAATCCCCAGCCCAATCTTCTATACTTACATCTGGTAATCTGAGCAACTTTTTTGAAGATAACAATATGTAATATAACAACCACTGTTAATCTCTATCATTTGGTTTGAAACCCTGTATCATTTTTTAATGTTCTTGCTTTGTGTTGTTTGAATTTTGCTATTGTTCTTTTTTTTGTGCTATTTTCTTTAAAATAAAAAAAAAATGTAAAAAAAAGGAGTCTTTATAACCAGGGTGTTTTATATTACGGAGGATCATTTAGCTTTATGAAGACATCAGAAATCTAGTTTCAGTTCTTCAGAGTATAAATCTATGTATTCTAATAGCTAAACTTCACCAATTGGCTAGCATCCATGATTAGCACATTAACACATTTTTATTTATCTTATAACTAAAGAGGCCAATTTTTCACTGAATTAAGATGCTGATAATAGTTGGGCTGCTGGAATTAATAATCCCATGGTGAATGGCAACAGGTAAAATTTAAGATTAAAAATGTCAATGCAATAGAGAAAATCTGCTAATTTCATGGCTACACCCCTATTCTGCAGTTTCATCTACTTTAAGTACATATGCTACTTTGTGTACCTTATTTAAGTACAAAGACAACATGTGCATTTATAAATGATAATTTTAAACAAAAGAGAAGCAATAACCTGTAAGTTTTAAAATATAAATGTAAGTAATTTGCTAAAAATCTGATAATTTTTTACAGAGATGATGAAGTTGTAAGAACCAAGAATACTGAGATATAAATTCAGAAATAAATCACAGCATCAATTACAGCTTTTGATATTTCAACAGTTTTAATTAACATAATGGTTAAAAAATGTTTAATTCTACCATTACCTTTGGAGCAGAAGGTGGATTTAACTGCGCTTGATGGTTCCCTGTATACTGAGTTAAGCCACTGGAATCTGAAGACTGTGCTGTAGCAAGTTGGGTACTGGATCTAGGTTGCTGAGATGATTCTACTTTATGGCTCTTATTTGATCCATCCAACCTACTACTTCTCTCCATGGCAATCAGGTCACGAATTTTTTGCAACTGCTCCACTGAAGCTTTTTTAGGGAAGATAAGATGTGTTTCTCCCTGGAATTTACAAAATTGGGGAAATTTTAATCTTTGCTTTATACTGACAGTCATTCTCACATATATAAGTCAATACTGTACAATGCATCATATTTTAACAATCATACTTGTCTTACTTATCTCTCACTGCTGAGACAAAATACCTGCAGCCCAAAATCAAGGTAGGAAAAGTTCATTTAGCTCACAGTTTGTGGATTCAGTCCATAATCTGCTGGCTCCAAGGCAGGGCGGCAAGGCACAGGGGCAATGGATCATGGCAATGGATCAGGGAGAGCAATTAAAGGAAAGGGGAGAAGCAAGCCTCTTTTCCTCCCTTATACTGTATACAGAATACCCACCCTAGGGTGGGTGTCCACTCATACTCTCAATCCCAGCATGACACAATGAACCAATCACAAACTCTAGATTCATCTGCCTCTGAAAAGCCTACCCCCTAGACTTTGGGAGGACATCCAGACATAAACTATAACAATACTTTTTGGTATCATTACGGCCCTTTTAAAATACAAAGGAATATAATGCTTAAATATAAACCAAAAAATTAAGAAAAATTTTTCTTCATTAGCATATAATGCTTATTTAATGTGATTCAAAGGACTGTTAGAAAAATTTGATTGGGGAGGAATAGATCCTAAGAGTTGCAAATGTGCACACCTATATTCTTTACAACAGTTATGAAACTATTATTATCTATGGAATTCCTTATGAAGTAATAATGATAGTAGGTGGAAAGCCATACAAAAGGATTGGAGGAGGGGGGCACATAAAACCATAATGAAGTTATATAATGTGTGGGACTCGGTGGTCTATTGGTGGTCCCTGAGAGAAAACAGCACAAGGATTTAGAAAATAAAGACAAGACAATAAATAGCCAGGTCAGGTGGAGTTACCTCTTACCTGACGGGCAAGCGGTCTGACTTCAACAGTAGGGGTATTTATTGTATACTCTTGCAAAGTTAGTATCAGGAGAGGTAATGTTGCCTAGTGACTAAAGACTGTAACTGTCCAGGCAGGATGCTTTTTTCAATACTGAGGTAGCTTGAATGTTGGAGGCACTCTGGCTCTGTCCTGCCCTCACACAAATGACTAATATCCAGTTTCAGCAGCTCCCAACAATAATGCACAGTAGTATAACTATGGCTGACAACAACTGAATGTTTCAAAATAGGCAGTAGAGACGATTTTGAAAGTCCCCAACATAATTTCTTTATGTGTAAGGTAAGAGATATATTAACTAATCTGATCTGGTCATTATACATTGTATATATGTATTGAAATGTCACACTATACCACACAAATATGTACAATTACCAAGTGTCAATTAAAAATAAACATATACAAGCTGGCCATGGTG